GTCTATCCCGTAGGATAAGGCCCGACTTTCGACCTGCTCGATGAAGGCTAAGGGGTCTGAATATCCGTCAAATTGGAGGCCCCATTTACGAATTCGTTCGGGGACGCAAACAATCTCGCGGCGATTCCGGTCATGGCTCGGCTCCGTGAAAGTTTCTTGGTTACTGCCAACCGGAGAGGCGTCAGTAACCGTGAGGCTAGGGGTAATTCGAGCTCGGTCTGCGGGGAAGACACCGGGGGTTGCTCCGGCGCTTATGTCTTCCCCCAAAGGTGCGGGGCTCGGGGCACGTGATGAGTATTGTCTTCCTAGGTCGGCTAGTCGAGCCCACACCTCTTGGGTTTGTTCCGAGTCTCTAACTAGGGTGACAAAGTTTCGCCGCAAGTCGTCGACGAGTCCCTCGGCGGAGAACCCGAATTCGTCAGCAAAGGCTAGTAATTCGGCCTTCAAGCGGGAATAAATCCACCGCGAGGGGACCCCGGGATTGTGAAATAAGTGTGGAACGGACTCACCGGCAATTTTCTGGTCGGGGTCCATGTTTGCAGCGAGTCTTTGGTGCGTTGTCTTGGAATGATGTCTTCGCTTGTTGGAGTCTTTACGGGGCTTCTTGGGCCATACGTTTGTATTTTCACAGACACTCGATCGCGTGGGCTTGATACCGGGCGCGTTCACTAGTTCGTCAAGGTTATTCTCCCCGGTCGGGACACTTTCGCGGAAACCGTTAGACTACGTCACTCACTCGGGGCCTAAGCACTCCCCATACAGGTGGTAGTTTTCCTGGTCTTTCTCCCTATCGGGTCCCTGTTCGGGCACCACTTGTAACGCAGTTCTCTGGCCGGGGTAGAATCTCAATCGGGGGCCAAGGAACCTATACAAGAAATTTATATAGAAGGGTGGGACCTGTAGTAGGAATTTGTATGGGGAGGCTGTAAGGCGCCCGAACACGAGTGCTCTTCGACGAGGTAGTCGATCGTAAAGGCCTGTTTCTCTACGCGCGAGGCGTGTTCCTCCCTGCGTTTCCTGTCGTGCTCCTCGGTTGCCATGCTGGTGTTTCCTCCTGTGGTGCTTGTCGCGTCTTTTTCCTTGCATGCTGTGGCGTAATGCGTTTCCCGTACTCTATGCTGCCCTTCGGGCGCATCCCTGTTATGCTGTGGCTCTGTCTCGTGGTTGGCTATGCCTAGCCGAGGTTCCGTTCGAAAAGGGTTCCTTTTCCGGGCTATGGCGGAGTCAGCCAAGGGCTCCAGGTGGATGGGGTTATCCACGGCAGGCGCCGGTTGTACACGTTCCTGTTGCTTGGGAGCTGTAGTGGCTGTATCCCTATGGGGTTTTCCCATCAACCGTCGTGGGGCTGCCACGGGGTTTTCCTGGAGCTGCGTTGTATCAGGAGAAGCTGCCGCGCACACCGCGTTCGGTGCGCCGCTTCTCGCTAGGGGCTCCTGCGTGTCCGTTGATGGATGTCCGTTGGCTGTGCTGGGCGTAGCTTCGGGGCTGGGTGGTCTTCGCGATCGGAGTCGAGGTGGTGGTTCTGATGGATTGCCTTGATTGTCAGGCCGTGGTTCATTGTACCTAATCGTCTGACCTCCTCTGGGTCTTTGTCGGGACAGCGTGAGGCTTGCCGTACCGCATCGGAGGGTAGTGCCGATAGAAGCGAGGAAATCCATCCCTAGGATTAAAGGTTCCAGCATGGCGGGCATTACTAAAAGGGGAACCTGAATTGTCTTCCGGGCGAGCGTCACGTCCGCAAGGAGTAACCTTGTTACTTCTACTCGAGTCGTGTCAGCGAGATTAATCTGAATGCGAATCTCCCTAAACTGGTGTGGCTGACCGACTACGTCGGCGATGTCCTGGCTAATGAAACTCCTCAATGCCCCGGTGTCGATGGTGGCTAACCGTACGTGTCCGCCAAGGTCGACTTCCTCGGCGATCCTTCCTCTCTCTACCCTAAGCGGTGCGGTTACTGTTGGTTCTCCGGTGGATTGGGTCCCGACGAATTCCGCCGGTCGAGGGGACGCATCCCGTTTCCCGGTTGTTGGCGTCGACAGCATTCGACTGTGCGGACGTCCCGTCGTCCGCAGTCCCAACAGAAGTACTGTCGAGGATTCCGGCAGTCGCGGATGAAGTGTCCCGGTGCTCCGCAGCTTCGGCAAGCATCCCGCACATCGATTCGTCGTTCGGGTGCGGTCACCCGGTTAACCCTAGCTGGCGGGGCAGTTCTGGGCTCTGGAGATGTACGGGGTGGGCTCCGTAGGGGGGCTCTCTCAGCGAACGTAGGTTGGGTCTGACCTTGTGAAGGGGAGCGGTACGCTGTCGGATTTCTGGTGGCGGGGTTATAGTTGTTCCTCCCGAGGCTCCGCTTCTGAACGGCCTCGAACTCGGTGGCCAATTGGGCTAATTCCACAATGGTCCGTACCTCGCTGCGTCGGATATACATCTGGTATTCCGGCGCGACATTTTCGTATAGCCTATCTAGCTCTTGGTCTTCGTTGTAGCCCGCATGGCGCATGAGGACTCGGAGATCTAGCATAAAGTCTTTAAATGTTTCCCCTTCCAACTGCTCACGACTCCGAATCTGGTCGTCCAAGCGCTGGAGGTATCGGGGTGGGAGGAAAAACTCGAGGAATTCACGCCGAAATGTTTTCCAGTCAGCTCCTTGGAGGCGGCTTGTTTGGAACCATTTGTCTGCTCTGCTCGTCAGCAGCTCTGCCATGGCTCGAGGAAGGAGTCCTAGGTCTATCCCGTAGGATAAGGCCCGACTTTCGACCTGCTCGATGAAGGCTAAGGGGTCTGAATATCCGTCAAATTGGAGGCCCCATTTACGAATTCGTTCGGGGACGCAAACAATCTCGCGGCGATTCCGGTCATGGCTCGGCTCCGTGAAAGTTTCTTGGTTACTGCCGACCGGAGAGGCGTCAGTAACCGTGAGGCTAGGGGTAATTCGAGCTCGGTCTGCGGGGAAGACACCGGGGGTTGCTCCGGCGCTTATGTTCGGGGCGGGGCCGCTGGGGCCGGTTTTGTCTTCCCCCAAAGGTCCGGGGCTCGGGGCACGTGATGAGTATTGTCTTCCTAGGTCGGCTAGTCGAGCCCACACCTCTTGGGTTTGTTCCGAGTCTCTAACTAGGGTGACAAAGTTTCGCCGCAAGTCGTCGACGAGTCCCTCGGCGGAGAACCCGAATTCGTCAGCAAAGGCTAGTAATTCGGCCTTCAAGCGGGAATAAATCCACCGCGAGGGGACCCCGGGATTGTGAAATAAGTGTGGAACGGACTCACCGGCAATTTTCTGGTCGGGGTCCATGTTTGCAGCGAGTCTTTGGTGCGTTGTCTTGGAATGATGTCTTCGCTTGTTGGAGTCTTTACGGGGCTTCTTGGGCCATACGTTTGTATTTTCACAGACACTCGATCGCGTGGGCTTGATACCGGGCGCGTTCACTAGTTCGTCAAGGTTATTCTCCCCGGTCGGGACACTTTCGCGGAAACCGTTAGACTACGTCACTCACTCGGGGCCTACGCACTCCCCATACAGGTGGTAGTTTTCCTGGTCTTTCTCCCTATCGGGTCCCTGTTCGGGCGCCACTTGTAACGCAGTTCTCTGGCCGGGGTAGAATCTCAATCAGGGGCCAAGGAACCTATACAAGAAATTTATATAGAAGGGTGGGACCTGTAGTAGGAATTTGTATGGGGAGGCTGTAAGGCGCCCGGACACGAGTGCTCTTCGACGAGGTAGTCGATCGTAAAGGCCTGTTTCCGCACGGATTCTAATCGCCGAGTATGCCTCTACGCGCGAGAGCCGTTGGTCAAACCGATCTGAACACGAGGTTGACGACAAGGCATATATTAGAGCACCGCCTAGCGGCCTGCAGTGGGAAAAGGGCCGACCACACTGCTTGGTGCGAAACCCGGGGAGGATCCTGTTTGAGGCGCCCCCTGGTGATAGAACGAGGTACTCAGTGGGTGATCGCACTGCTTGGTGGGGAACTTGGATGAGACCCGTCAGTAATGCCCTCTGGTGGCGGAGCGAGATACTAAAAAGGACGATTGCACTGCTTGGTGGTGAATTTGGATGATTCCGATTGGAGTTGGCTGCGGGGGCTACGGGGAGGGGAACTCTGCCGGGCATGAACGGCGGGGGTCGCCCACTCCGGATATACTCGGAGCCTACGGGTGTCTACACTCCGGATATACTCGGAGCCTACGCTTGTCTACACTCCGGATATACTCGGAGCCTACGGGTGTCTACACTCCGGATATACTCGGAGGATACGAAACCAAACACGCGTCGTAGATCGGGGTCGAGAACGGGTGGGGTTAGAAGGAGGGGAAGTGTACTGGTAAAGAAATAACACGCGGGGTTTTAGTTCTTCAATTTCAGGCTTATATTTGACAGTTATTGAAAGTAGTTCCCTGGCTGCTGCCCTCACAATGGATGTTCTTGCTTACGTGTAACTTCGAGGATGTTAACTAGTGTGGCACACGTCTACTCGCGGTGAAAAGTCGAAACCAAAGAGAGCGAGTCAGATTTCTAGAGATCGCACTTCAGCTCGCGTCGTGTTTTCTGAACCAGTTCCCTGTTATCGATCGTGATATCGATCGCCCCCCTCACGAGTGCGATAGCGGGTTAAGGGGGTTCTGCCCGTGGTGCGTGTCTCGGCTTCAAATGTAAACACCAGCTTAATTAGTTTCTCCTTAGTTACCATTACTTCATATTGATAACATAGGTGGACTCCGTGTCCAAATCTTAAAGCTAATTCTAATACTATATTAAATACTAAATAGGTGGACTCCGATCCTCGGCATGATTAAATGAAGTTTGTACGCCCTCAGATTTAGGGCGTTACAGATTTCAAAGCATATTAGAAAACGAGATATTTAGTGTTTTAAAATTATTTTTATATTTTTAATTTATTCCTAGTTCATCTTTTAAAATTTTCTGGTCGAGAGTTCACGAGTTAATCAGCCGAATTGACGTTATATGAACTAATTGAAATTCTGCCGATAAGATTAATTACCTTTGTTCCTCGAACAGATTCTGGATGCTTAGCGTGATACATGCAAAAGTATTTTCGATGACCATTCAATGCCAAAACAGTACCAACACAGTTTCTTGGATTGACCTGCAAGTTTCGATTTGTGCTCAATGATAAACGAAGAATTTCAGCAAACCATGGTAGTCCTTTTTCAATTGTCATGTGCCCAAATAATAATGTTTTGGATTTCCTGTACGGCCAAACTGCCTTGTGAAAATATGGAATAAGCTTATTTCTACTTTTTAAATCTGTTATGAGCAGTAAAGTTCGGCATCCTGGTTTTAGAAGACGAACCATTCCATTATATTTTTCTGCTCTCAGTTCGTAGAGCTTAAGTTCCGGAATGGAATTAATATGGTGCTGATCTGAAATTACATATAAAAATATTTAAAACAAGAAAGGAAAGCTAACTTCGGGCGGAGCCGAAGTTGATATACCCTTGTAGAATATTCTGTATATTATATTCTTCAAAATTATTCATATAATGCATTCTAAATACTCATAAAAAATACCAACTTCCTAACTTTAAAAACACCAAAGTTATGGCATTTTCAATTGTTCAGTTATATGGCAGCTATAGGATATCGCCCGATTCTTATGAAATTTGGTAGGTCGGATGAATTGGCCAAAAATAAAACCCATAGAAAATCCCAACTTCCTAACTTTACAAACACCAAAGTTATGGCATTTGCGATCAATAACTGATTGATATGGCAACTATATGATACTGCGTCCAAAGAAACGAAGGGTGTGTGTAAAGTTTTAATTCGCGTTTAAGTTCGCGTAGAAACAGACAGACGGACAGACAGACATGCCCTTGTCTCCATCTGGTGTGTGGTATATAGCATACGAGCAACCATACACTTATGGACAAAATAATAGGTGTGCTTTTTTCCTTTATTAACTTTGTATTTCTAATTCATACCTTCTCTAATCTCAACAAATTATATTTTTTTCATAACTTATATTAATTGTCTTTGTGACGAACCCGCCTAGGAGGCGTGTACGCCACAATGGTTCCTTTTTACGTTTATAATAGTTTTAAGAGAAATTACATGGAGTTCGATAAATATTAAGACATAGTAAGATTAAATAAGTTATATCTAAGTTCAAATCCCAGGGTGGCAACGCTAACCGATATTTAGCCGAGGCGCATTTAATACTAGAAAAGTAAGGAGCTAAGATACCAGGAGTAGGAAAATACTGGAAATCCCGAATGCGGGAACAAGGAGAAAAGTGTACGCGATCACACCATAACCTGGAGCAGGGCCTCTAGGCTCTTCTCTCGTGATCGCGAAACGAGGCAGACGTGTGATCGGCACACGGCTGATGCGAAACTTCGAGGCTCCACGTGCAAGCCGCAAGTGTATTCGCAAGTAGGTCAAACGGGACGCCCGACGCGACCTTTCGCAGTTCTCCCTTCGCGGGTTTAATTTGGCCAAGCGCCACGCTGCCAATCGTGGGTGACATTGAAGAGGTTAGTACAAATAGGTCCTGAATACGCTCAGAACGGTGTAGCGGACTCGGGTGAGAAAAATCCCAATAAAGTTTTACGGTCGTGTAATCATATCTCCCGATCTTGTGTTTTCATTTCGTAGTTAAAAGTGAACCTAACCTAACCTAACCTCATTCCCAGAGCTAATTTGGGCCCGAACGTGGACATACTTCCCGTTCGCCACTGTAGCCGTAGTTTTTGCTCCGAGTAGTACCATCGGACCCGAACGCGGACCCCTTCCCGTTTGATCCGGTGGGGAAACTACCGCCTTGCGTAGTTTGGGATTTGTGCGTGGACACCCGTCCCGCCGGATCCATTTCTCGGTAGTTTCCCCACTCCCCCGCGTAGTTTGGGATTTGTGCGTGGACCCCCGTCCCGCCGGATCTGTTCCCCGGTAGTTTCCCCATTCCCCTTGCGTAGTTTGGGATTTGTGCGTGGACACCCGTCCCGCCGGATCCGTTGCTCGGTAGTTTCCCCACTCCCTCGCGTAGTTTGGGATTTGTGCGTGGACACCCGTCCCGCCGGATCCGTTCTCCGGTAGTTTCTCTATCCCCCTGCGTAGTTTGGGATTTGAGCGTGGACACCCGTCCCGCCGGATCTATTAACCTAGTGTCTGGTCTACGTAGTAGTTTGGAGACTGGCACGTGGACACCCGTCCCGGCCGGTCAGACAAGTCGAATCCCTCTGTCCTTTTACAATCCGGCCCCGCCCCTCCCAAAGTATCTTCCCGGCTCGGCCTCGCCCGAAGGTCCAGGCCGGTAGATTTTCCGCCCTTGACGCGAGATCCAAGACTTCCACCCGCAAAGTATCTTCCCGGCTCGGCCTCGCCCGAAGGTCCAGGCCGGTGGATTTTCCGCCCTTGACGCGAGATCCAAGACTTCCACCCGCAAAGTATCTTCCCGGCTCGGCCTCGCCCGAAGGTCCAGGCCTGTGGATTTTCCGCCCTTGACGCGAGATCCAAGACTTCCACCCGCAAAGTATCTTCCCGGCTCGGCCTCGCCCGAAGGTCCAGGCCGGTGGATTTTCCGCCCTTGACACGAGACCCAGGACTTTACACCCGCAAAGTATTCTCCCGGCTCGGCCTCGCCCGAAGGTCCAGCCCGGTGGATTTTTCGCCCTTGACACGAGATCCAGGACTTCAACGACCACCCAGTATTCTCCCGGCTCGGCCTCGCCCGAAGGTCCAGCCCGGTGGATTTTTCGCCCTCGACGCGAAACACGACAAGGATTCCACACGTCTACGTTTCCGCCGACTCGGACAAGAACCCTCGGTGCAGACTCCCCATTAAAATCATCTGTTCACCTGTTGAACGGAACTCTCTAGTCCGGTGTTTCGGTGATTTACAAATTTCTTGTAAAGGACTCTTGGATCCGACTGAGATCTGTACCCCGGCCGAGAAAACATCCTTACAAGTGGCGCCCGAGCAGGGACGCCGGGACTAGCTAGAGATTTATACAAGTGGCCTAAAGACCCACTGTGAAAAGGGTAGAGTCGCCCGGGGAGCCGAGACGAAACGACCAGAGGAATAGAAGGATATAAGAAGGAAACCGCCCAGGAAAATAAGACGATGAGTACTCCTAAGGAACCCGAGGGTGAGTACGAAGAAGATAATTATATCAAGAACCCTGGTGTAGGAGTCCGCTGGATATATGCACGCCGAAGAGACGAACTCAACTCCCTTGCCGTTGAGTTCGGCTTCAAAGCGGATGGCACCGTCGAAGAGGCCAGGAAGGCGTTTGCCAACGGTCAGCGCAGGGTCCTTCCCACAACGCGTGTGGAGCCGGCTAGCTCAGCTGCAGGAGCAGTACAGCAGTCGGGCCCCGAGCCCCGTTCTCACCGGAAAGAGCGACGAGATGGAGCAATTCGCAGAGTCCCTCCGAATCCCCGTCATCTCCGACGCTACGCCGCTCGAGGTTCCCGCTCGTCATCGAGGAGTACATCCCGGAACGGCACACGGTGACCGGATGCCGCTCAAAAATGTTCGCTTGGCCACTGGCCTGCAGGGGCAGGAGGTGCGGAGTAATACGACTCCCACTCAGCACTTGCTTCCTGAGAAGATACACAAGTGGAACCTACGGTTCGATGGTAGCTCGGATCCGCTAACACTCATCGCTGTACTCGAGGAGAAGATGACGACGTATAGGATAAGTCCGGAAGAGATCCCCCGGGCTATGTCCGAAATCTTCGAGGTGGTTCCGTACTAGCCATCTGCAGTCTGCCTCTTGGGGAACTTTCCGGAGGGAATTCCTGGAGTTCTTTCTACCTCCGCGATATTTCGAACGATTAGAGGACGAGATTCGGACTCACCTGCAGAGAAGAGGAGAGCCTTTCAAAACATACCTGATCGAGCTTAGGACGAAGATGCAGCAGGCCGGGTACCGAGAAGAGGAAGAGTTGTACCGCGCGTACGAAAACATGGCTCCAGAGTATCGGCTATACATCAAGCGCAGTGAATTCGGGACGTTGAAGCAACTGACCCACATGGCTACTGAGTACGAATTTGTCAAACAACTCGAGTCGACTCGAGACGGGACCACAGGAGGGACGGACAGGAACCGCGAGGGACCGCAACTTCGGCGTTTACCGAACCCCTTTCGGAACTTGGAGAGTACTACACAGGCAGGACACGTGACTCACTGGATGATCGGGCAAGAAACCTCACGAGTGGACGTGCAGCGTGCCTGCGGCCGTTGTGGTGAGAACGGACATTTCCGTCGCGACTGTCCCAACCCACGTCGTGACTTTTGTTGGGATTGTGGCCGGGTGGGAGTGCTAACAATAGAGTGCTGCCGTCGAAATGCCTCGGGAAATGGAGGACGTCTCCGCCGGAATCCGGGTGCGGCAGAGACGAACGAAGCAACGGCCCGACCCCAACAAAACCCCCGTTAAGGATACACGGTGGACTCATCACAGCAGCGATAGAAGTTGGAGGAAGGTGGGTAGACGCCACCGTTGATACGGGGGCATCGAGGACTTTCGCCAGTGAAAGTTTTACAAAGCTGGTTGCCCGCGCAGACGAGGTCCGTGAAGTTGTCACCAGAATAGCGTTGGCCGATCGGTCATGTCTGGATGTGACAAAATTGTGGCGCACCCCGGTCACGTTGGCGGGTACCACAGTTCTCTTACCCATGTTGGTGATGCCCACCATGTTGGACCGGGTGATACTTGGGATGGATTTCCTCAAAGCAGCCGGGACGCTCGTGCGATGTGGGCAGGCCACCCTCGAATTGCGATCTGAACCCCAAGCAAGAGGGGATCCTTTGTTACAACCAGTGCTCATACCTCCGAGGGACGATCGAGAAAGAGCGGTACACTCTGACAAGTTTAGGGTCCAATTGGGGACTGCCAGACAAGGAGGAACAGAGGTTCTTAGCCCTACGCCTACGTGGAACGCGGCCACGACAAAAGACACTGGGAAAACTGCTAGGACGGAGGCGGAGGACCACGACAAAGGACGACGGATTGCGCCATTGAGTCCGAGGCAACAAGGCTTCCTCGAACAAGATTTAGCTTTGTTCGAGAGCCTCCAGGGAGTATCTCAGATCGCAGAGCCTCGCATCGTCATGCGCGACGATAAGCCCTTAAAGCAAAGGTATTATCCCAGGAACCCCGCGCAAGGTACGCGACGAGCCTGATAAGTTCTCTGACTACATGTTGGAGAATGGTCAGCTCTATAGGAACATGGGTTACCGAGCAGACGACGAGGACTACTTCCCGTGAAAACTCTGTGTACCCACTTCCTGTAGAGCCCGCGTCTTATACGAATTTCATGATTCCCCAACCGCAGGACACTTGGGTGTCCGAAAAACGATCACCCGCCTGTCGCAAAGATATTTCTGGCCCGGCATGTACCGCGATGCAAAACAACA